TAGAATGTTGGGACGAGGCATGCAGATGCCTTATTTCAGTCGAGTGCCACACCCATTTAAACGAAAGTCAGCGGTATCTGAAAGTCGAAGCACTTGACTTTAGCGACCTTCTTGATAAAGCACATTGCGAGCTCGAGTTGAAGTATAGCAATATCACAGCATATCCTGTGGGAATATCCCACAGCTAGAACGCAGAGAAGACATTTACGACCCTGTAAAATAAATATTCTTTAAGAGTTTATTTAAGCATTTTTATACTTAATTATACATAATATAACCATTTTTCGGATCATATTCTTTTTCCACTTAACTTAAGACATCGGAACGATCGAAAAATAGATAATAAATAAATCATTAAAACCTATACGGAACTTACATTTTTTAAAACGCATATTCTGAAAAAAATGATTTTTTTTTAATAAAATTGGACTGCCAAATCATATCACTGTATATACAAATCAACCACATATACAAATTTTCCATAATATGAATGATATGCCTAACGCTGAAAGTGTATACAAAGTTTGACTAGCCTAAAAAAGCATTCATTCTTCTTGAAACTCGAATTCCCACAGAGCACCAATCCATAGAACCAAACTTCTATCGAAATCTTGAAATAGGTAGGCATTTTCGATCCAATGATGTAAATACATATACTAGCCAAATTTGCATGTTTGAAGGGATCTGCTTAGGGGGTTTTATATACCTATACCACGAAAAAAAACTAGATATTTGGATTTGGCTTTGTATATTGAAAAAAGTTAAATTTCAATAGTTTTGTCATATAGTACACTACTTTAACTTTTTACATCTCTTACCCGTATAATATTGTTTTCGTCGTAAAGTCTAGTATAGTCGATCTAGCCATGTCTGCATAAGATTTTTGAAACTATAAAAGCTAGAAACTTGGGACTAAGCATGCAAGTTTTATGCACAAATAAAAAAAGTGTAAAATCAACATAGAACAATTGTTATTTATAATTTCCAATTTATATTCTATTCCCGTTACTCGTAGAGTAAAAGGTTATACTAGATTCGTCGAAAAGTACGCAAAAGGCAAAATGAAGCGTTTCCGACCCCATAAAGTATATATATTGTTGATCAGGATCACTAGCCGATTCGATCTAGCCATGCCCAGCTGTCCATCGGAAACTATAAGAACTAGGCTATTGGGATTTAGCATGCAGATTCCTGAGCTTCTTGCGCAGCTCAAGTTTGTTTGCCACGCCCACTCTAACGCCCACAAACCGGCAAAAACTGTGGCCTCTACAGTTTTGATGCTAAAATACAAATTTGAACTGAAATGTATTGGTCTCGTCAACACCTATTGATTACCCAAAAAAAGTTTGCCACGTCCACTCGAACGCCCATAACGCTTAAATCTATGTACCACATAACCATATATTGAGATAAGGGGTAGGTGGCGCATTTCAATCTCGCTTTGCTGCTTGCATTTCTCAATTTCCCTTTGCTCCCTTTAGGTGAGTAACGGGTATCTGATAGTCGAGGTACTCGACTATAACGTTCTTCCTTGTTTTTTTGCTTGGTTCAGCAACTAAAAACTATTTTCTTAATAAATTTCAAATCGGAATCGGGACCATAGCAAAATCAATTTTGGGAGAGCCCCACTCCGAGATAATCGGTAGATAGATTTTTAGTTTTCTGCTTGGGTAGCCAGAGACAGTTAACCATAAAGTGGGTCGATCTTAGGTTCCAACGATCAAAACAGTATAACTTGTATGTCTAAGCATTCTTAAAACTTCCCTGCACTTATACGTGTCATTAATGTGCCGACTGTCTTATTCGACAACTATATCAAAACTGACTTTCCCTTTCTCAAATATTATCTCTTCGAAAAAAGTTGTAAAAGTTCGACAACATTATTATGACAAAACCCAGTTTTTGTCAATGACATGTCGATAGGACATGCCCATGTTAATTTCATCAATCATTTGTAAAAATGATAACATTGAATTTTTTTGGTGAAATTATTACTGATTACTGGTTCTGCAGGGTATACACTAAAAAACATGCAAGCGGAAAAGCGCGTAAAAGTGTATTCACATATTCGATGTAATAGTAGTGTCACCCCCTTTGCAAAGGGTTCTATAATTTCGGTCAGGTGTTTGGTACGCATAGAAGGACACGCTTTACACCCTATAAAGTATCAAATATAAACACCTCTTCTTGACAGGGTTCTTGACGATCGCACCTTCAGCTTACAAAAGTTCTGATATCAAATTTATAATTTAGCTTTTTCGAGTAACTTGAACGAAGATCGGACTTTAACAAATGATATGTCATTCGACGCGTTTTTTGAGTATGAATACAACTAGACTAATACACTTGACAATTTATCCCCAACATGCCCAACAGATTCAAATTTCAATTTTTTTTTACACTTTCTCCAAAACCAATGGATTTTCTTAAAGTTTTGGTATGTAATCCTTTTAGTTTTTTTGATTCGTGTGTCACTCGTTACGATCGGACCATCACAGTAGATTTTCATTTTGTCGTGTATATATAGTAGTCGCCTTCGCACACTCTCCTATGCGCTTCGTCACTACGTGGACTGCCGTCCACAGTGATAGTGGCGCCCTTGCACAGTCTCCTGATCCTGATCAAGACTATCTATACTTTATGGGCTTAAAACGTCCTTCCTTCTTCCTTTAAACGAATGAAATGCTTCCGTGTAACGGGTGTAAGGAGCAGGAATCTGCGCCAGCGATTTATGAAGCCTTTTCATACAACCCTGAAAAATTAATTGGCTTGAAAGATAGAGTGAGATTTCTTTTCAATATACTTTTATTTATATTATGTTGGTTTTTTCATTAATATTAAGGTGTACATAGATACTTTTAATTATCTAAAAAATTTGTTTAGTTACAATTGCCACGCATACAATCCGTCTTCAATGTGATTTGTATGACAAATGTATAGACACCCAGGAAAACCCCGTCCGTCCAATATCAATCAATTCAAATGCTACAGTTATCAATAGTCGGCCCATGGACATGTTGGACTGTCTCCGATTTGGGGGTCTGTGTCGTTTGCCTTACATGGCTAAACATTAGCTTCTGATTTACACGTATGTATCTATATGCTTAGATGTGCAATGGAGAAACTCGACTCGAATATTTCATCCTAATATCGCCCTTTCAAATGCCACATGCCGAACTCAAACTCACAACTTATATTTCTTACAGCTTATCCAGACGCTGAGTTTATAGGGTTTGTTTGACCGAAACATTCGGTTAACTATTCTTGTTATCGAGAATGTAGTTTCGTTCAACGTCAAGGGAGATTTTCATTTGGGATTCTTGTTCAATAGTTTTTCGCTTTTCAAGCTTTCTTATGTGGAATGTGGTCATTCTTTCATTTACATACATAGTTAAAGTAAAAACTAGCCACTGAATGCCACGTCTAAGTGATTTCCAATATTGTGAAAATCGTGACCCTACTTATCGAGACCAGGCCCTCTAAGGATCATATTGTATCCTTCCTTCCGTTTTAGATTTACACAAATACATAAATTTCCCATTTAAATTGTTGTCCCTTTTGCTTGCAGTTCTGGTTGAGTTTGTTGCTTAGAAAATTTCTTTGTTTAATCTTAATTTCTTACAATATTTTGAAATTCCTTTAGCAATCATCGGATTTGTGTATTATGTACTTGGTTTCTCTATATTGGAAATACATATCTAGTAGATTCTTCTGTATTATATTGGTTTTATCATGTAATTTTAGTTATTAATCGTAACAATTGTAAGTGTAATCAAAATTATAAATTGTATATAAAAATACAAAATACATACATTAATGATTTTTATCAAATTCTCATTTTATTATAGTTCTTATTGAGTTTAATGTATAGTTCCATACATATGCTCGATTATGTGGTATATCTCGGGAGGTTTTCGATTTCCGCCACGAGTAATTCGCCAAATATTTACATACAACTGTCTGAATTTCGGTGCGTATCAAAAAACAAGGAACCAATCTTTTAACCCAAAACACAACAATCTGGCAATACACACATGCTGATAATTTAAATGTTTGTGGGTTATGACAGGATCCAGAAATCGGCTGAGATCCCTGTGGAACAGCGGCAATCAAGTTTGAAAAAACTCGAAATTGGAGTACCTACTGGATCCTGCCCATATAATTTTGATGTGATTCATGATAGTGGAAAGGCACAAAATGCTAAGGAATAAAACTAAAATCGACTAACTTAACGTGTGTGTATGACACTGTATGTGGATGAAAAATCAGAATATTCTATCATTGAAACCGCCGAAAAAATTTGTATTTTAAGATGGAATTTCCAGAGGAACCAACACGGAAAAAGGATCAAAATAAATGGGAGACTTTGTCTGCTCGCTTCTGATGCAATTTATTGGACGGAAAACCATATATATGTCAGTGTGCGAATGTCTATAATGCCATGGTTACGCAAATCGGGCTAAGCCGAAATCGGAGCTACCAAATTGGATGCCAGGCCAAAGAGGCTGTGAATTGATACTCGCATCAGTAACCTAAACCATTTCCATATCCACTCCGATCGGATCTCGAAACTCATTGGCTCTCTAGGCGCTGCTACATGTTTTAAAATACACATTGACTTATTGAAGCTTTTTAAAAGCTAATCCATTGGTTACTCATAAAAATGGTTAAATTACTTTATTTTTACTAGATGTGGTTACGAGGATTAAAGCTTTATACAACACACTGTTGAATCGTACTTAACTTAGATGCGTATTGGTTTTTTTGGTTTTTGGTTATGCGCGGTTAAAGGATTCTCAATTTTCCACTCCCAGGCGTAGTCTCCTGCTAAGAGTCTTGCCAATGTGCCGATTCTTCTGTGGCCCCAACTAAACTTAACTCGAACTGATGAGTTGAGGTTGAATCTCGGTTAAACAAAATAAGTGTAATAAATTATGAAAATCATTTTGCTTCATATTTATTTTACATATATGTACGTTTCTTTTTTTTCCACATATGCGTAGAGTAGAATTGTTTTTATTTGGATTTTTACATAAATAATTTGTTGATGGGTTTTTTTTCTATTTATGTGCGTCTCTTTTAGTTATTCTTGTATATTAAATTAAACTAAAATTATAAAAACAAAAACAAAACACTGAACGCACTTGGCGGGCTTGATCGATTGGATAGCCGCAAAGTGTGTCCATTGTTGCATACATTAAGATCTATAAAATAAGCAAACAACTAACAAAGTTAATGTAAAAAGTACGAAAATCAAGCTATATCTGATAACAATGTTTCGACTGAAATTTTGATGGCAACAAAAGTACATGAGAGCAAAACTTTCCCTTCTGTTAGTTATGTTTCTCGACCAGTGGTATATCGCATTTGATTGGATTTGACCTGATGTCTGATTAAATATCAATAAGTTGCAAGGATTCTGCTGTTGTTGCATGGGTGGTTATCGACATTTTTACAAACATGTATTATTATTTAAGTGGATGCTCCATGTAAATGGCGTTTCTCTTACAGATTCATCTCCTTTCCTTTTTCTTGGTTTCTTGTTTCTTTTTTGTTTTGATGGTATTAATACAAATCGTAATTTACAATGAATGGGGCTCCCTCAATACAAATTAATCAATTGTTTAATTGTTACATATGCCTTTATGAATTATTATATTATCTGTTTGCATGTATAGTTAAATATGCCGGTAAACAATAGTATCAATATTTACGGTTTAGCTTAATAAAAAATACAGTATTATCTGTGATTTCGTTTTCATTCATTTTATCAGCTTATCATTTTCGGTTTTTTATTTTTACACGCCTTTATGCCCAGAAATTCTAATAAGAAACTTCTAGCATATATAATTCTTTGAATATATATTCCGGGGGATTTTTTACGCAAAATTTTGTTTTTTTCTTTCTGTAGTTATTTTAGTAAAATGTTGCTTTATTATGCTTCAGTACGACAAAGTTTTTCCGTTTGTTGTTCCTTATCAAGCTTTTGATTAAATTTAAGTTTCATATTTTTTGTTTTGGTTTTTATTACAAAAGTTACTATAGTAATAAATTTATTTAAATATAACAGAGTGACAACAAATAACTCGGACGAATATTTTGTATAAAAACTTTTGAAGAAAATACAGTTCCTTGTTGGTCTGAAAGACCATGGTGTTTACTCGAATATACCCAGAAGCTTTTTCCATTGAACTCCAAACATTTCCGGTCACTGTCTTTTTGACTTTTAGGAGTTATTTTGCCAAAACAATTAAAAAATCACACAAAATTGTTTTCTAAAAAACTTTGTCCGATAGAAACACCACCAATGTTTCAATATATATTATTATTATTCTACGAATCTTTATAATCGTAGTGTAAAGCGAGAAAGTTTGTCCTGATTATTTGCTGCCACCCCGTATCAGATTTTGTGTTATTTTTCTCTCAAATTAAAATGTATACATCATTTTCATCATTTTGTTGATGCTGGTTTACCATCTCAGTTTAGTATTCTATTTATGCTACAATTTTCGGTTCCTGATGTTACAAACGTAAGAAACTTTCTCGGGTCTAATTAATGCCTAATTTTCGGCCACATTCGCTCGCTTCTCAATTCTTCTTTTATATTTAGTAAATATGCGAAAAAGGAATTATATGAATGTGTATGTGTGTTTGTATAAAAATCACAAAAATAGTTTTTCGATCCAAATCCAGTTTAGACCAAATTATATTCCTTAAGGTTCGATTGCAGAATTGTGTCCTTAACAGCTGCAAACACAAACCTTATGTTTTCCGTATCTAAACAACGAAAAGAAAAGGTAATTAGTTGGATTTGTAAGTTCATTTTGGGGGAGCTAACTGCACACTCATTCCATTCAAGACATTTAACAGACTATATTGAATTTTTATTGAGGCACTTTGAAAAACAAATCTTATACAATATTAATAAATTATTCATTAGCATTGCCGTTATTCCTGAATTCCTCCTTGCCGGATTAGCCCAAATTGAACTCCTTTAGTGCATTTTGCATAATTGTATCTTTGACAGCGCAGAACACAAGTTTGATGTTTTCGGTATCTGTTTACCAAGAGATCGTCGTTTTATTATAAATCAATTTGATTGGGTTTAATATTTTAACTAGCAATACTCTACTCTTCTCCGGCGGCAAAAGCAAATGCAAAAGTTGAACAAACCAATGATTACCTTTTAACCAGACTTTTTGAGCTGAAAATTAGAATCACATCCACACGCACTTTCTGACCACACATACCGAACTTTTCTAAAACACTTACCTGTAGCACAGGTGAAATGAGAATAGATAATTTTTTCGGAATCTGGATTTAAATCTACAAACATTCGCAGTATGAATTCTCGGGCCGCAATTGCGTCGCGCTGTGGACCTATTTTGATGAGAAGGCAAATAAAATGTTACATCTAGCATGGTACTACAGGAATTAGCATATAATCTACAGATGAGTTTTGCATTTTGAAGCAATTACATAGAGCTTAAGTACAGAAGGTGAAAGTCCACCTGTGGCCGTTGTAAAATGCGAATAGCATTGACGTTCGGGATCTGGATTGGAGGCCAAGTACTTTTTCAAAACAAACTGTTTGGCCGCGGCGTGATCTTGCTTTGGACCTGGTTTTCGGCGCATAAAATCGTACATAACTATGGCCACTATTACCATTCGGAACACTTACCATCGTACTCAGGAAAATAGTCTACCAAATGCGAATACATTATTTTCTCCTCCAACAAGTCCTTCTTATTCAGGAAAAGAATAACGGACGAATTTTGGAACCAGGGGTATGTAATTATAGTACGAAATAAAGCTTTAGATTCCTCCATTCGATTCTGAAAATAATAAATTATGTTATCGATTAAAAAAACCATGAACCAATAACCAATTAGTAACCATACCTCGTTATCAGATTCAAACAAGATTTGATCGTATTCCGATAGCGCTACCAAAAATATAATTGATGTCACGTTCTCAAAGCAATGAATCCACTTTCTTCTCTCGGATCGCTGACCTCCGACGTCCACCATTCTGTTTATGAGAGATAATAAATTATCTTAAAGAGTTTCAAACAAGATTTACTACATTTAAAGCAAAACATAAAAGCATTGAATTCCAAAAGCGCAAGCAAAAAATAATATTAGTAAAAAATATATAAACGAAATAGTCTTTTGCTAGCTGTATCATAACCATTTACATTTCTAGCCTTGTCAGTAATTTATCGCATTATGTTTTGAATAGATACCTAAACACAATGCCATCCAAATCGAAAGGATACTCAAGAATGCCAGTTGTCGGCACTCGAGCACGCAGAATATCCTGCTCAGTTGGCAAATAATCAGCCAGTTCAATTCGAGCTAAGTCGCTCAAGTAGCTATATTAGATTAACAAATAGAATTTTAAGCAAGGAACGGAAACCATAACCGGGTCTAGAATAGTTTTACAATCCGTCTCAGTCCACTAACTTTGCAGAAGGCCCTAGACTAAGTCCCTCAATAGAACACTTCGAAAGACATGCGCTAAAGAAATTCTGAAGATTTTTGTTAACAAATATAAATAATCGAACCATAACCAAAACAGAAATCAGACACATGCAATGGAGTTAAGTGAAAAGGATGGTATGTACCTAAATCTGATTTCTTCTAAATCAAAGGGATACTCAATTATCCCTGTTGTCGGCACACGAACTCTTAAAATGTCTTGCTCAGTGGGTAAATATGCAGGTTGAGCCACACGATCGAGATCCTTCAGATAACTATACATAAACAAGATAATTTATTTAGTTTGCACAGTCAGTATTTTCAGTCTCGACAGTTAGTTTTTGGGTGTGATTTTTGGGGAAGAATATAATCCTTTCCGTTTGCATGTCAATGGGTAACTCACTATTTGGCTGAATCAGTCAGCTGATATTCCCTACGACGATCGTAGCACTCCTGGATGCCAGCATCGTCCCATAGCGTTTTGATGGCATTCAAGTATGGATCCTCGAACGTGGTAACGGTCTCGTAGTCGATGCTCATTACCAGATCGGCCAGTTCCTGTATATGGTATTAATTTTTGGTGATTATTCGCACGTGTGATTGTGATGCCAATGCAATACTTACGCTATGCTCTCCCTGACCATAGGAAATCTTCAGCATGTCCATTGCCTTGATCATTGACTGCATGGCCATGAATATGTTCTGGAAAACCAGCTTGATGTACCCACGCTTGTCCTCGTCCGAGTAGCCGCTGCCGTGGATAATGCGCATCTGTTTGATAAATGTTGACTTGCCGGACTCGCCCGTGCCTGGGGATATAGGATTGAAAAATATATAGCCATAAATGCGAGGCATGCAATGCAATTAGCCAGCCGCCTTCAATTGCATTAAGCCAAGCTAAGTGCAATCAAAATGTGCCATGTTCCACCTACCCAGCAGCAACAATTTAAGCTCGCGGCGCGCATCTCTCTTGTCTCGGCGCAACTGCTTCTCGATTTCCTGATTGATGCGCTTTTGTTCCTTGGCCTCCTCCGATAAACAGCACTCCATGCTAACTAGATTTGTGGACGCTTTCGCGTGCTGCTGCCACTACGCTCGACAGGCCGTTCCGTATAGAAAATGTATGCTGTTTCGATGGTGGGATGGTCTCCTGGACTCCCTTCCTTGGACCCTCAGTCACCTATCTAATTGGTTGTGTGATGCGCGCTGATTCCAACGTGTCCTAGCTGCGTGCTCATCCAAGGGAATTGCTTTGTACCCGTTCCAAGTTACAGATTCTGTTTCAGTTTCGATTGATACATTTGTACTTTGGCGTTGCTGGCTCTGCAGATCCTATCTCGTCCAGCGCTTACGATTCAGGCTCTCTTTGGCTATTGCTATTGCTAATTACGGCTCTACGCTAAGTCCTTGACCAGATTTCGGTGACTCGGAGGTTGAGAGTGATGGTTACAAATGAACGACGACCACATCGAACGATCCAAGAACATCTGCAAAGAGGCGAAGCTTTGATTTAGTACTAGCTTGCATAATATAACCGTAGGATCTATGGAACTATGGCTTTACGGACCACCAGAGTTGTTAGCTCAACGAGAGTTCGCCGCGTTGTGTCCCGTGCTGGCAATTAACATTTCATATTTGCTAGCCTGCCCCACAAGCTGGCAACGTCGACAACGACGTCGGATATCGATGGCCCATGGCTACCCCTGGCTTCCTCTGGCCATGGCATTGGCTTTGGCTCTGTTCTTGGTCTGCTCTCTCTGCGCAGACCTGGGATCGCCCTCCACCAGGTGGCTACAGATTGAGGAAGCGTTCGCCCAATGCCCCCCATCCAAGTTCATTGCAAGAAAGCTGATTTTGGTAAATATATGGCTTCGCTGACCACAGGTTAGCGAGAGTGTTCTCTGGGTGAGTGAACCAATCTCGACATCAAATAGGTGTCCAGAGGAATCCCAGGGAAATCCTATTGCCATATTTCCCTACACATGTTATTCCCCTACCAATATGTTACTAGCTACCTACAATATGATACTATTCCCATGGATTTTAGTTTTCCCTTTTACCTTTAAAGTTTCCACCATATAAGAGTAGGGACAGTTTTTCTTTGATCCATTTTAACTATAAACCAGTCAAAATAGTGTCAATAAAAATTGTTGACCCAATCGGATCCATAGACTGTATCCTTTTCGGTGTTTTGGTCCACCCAGCGACGTCGTTCATTCATGGGTTCAGCGTAGGGCAAGCCTATAGAATATAGCCTATAACCTGCAGTCGTAGCCACTGGTGCTATTTCCTCTCTTTTCGTGCCCTCTGTTCATATATCGAGTGATTGCTAATCCAATTTAGTTGGCGAATACATTGACACGGGTCGAGGTAAGGCTTTCAACATGGACACTACCGAATATCGATAGAACATATAGCAATATTTTGGTCAAAAGTTCTGCCGGGGGAGCGTTGGCGAGCGTTGGTGGGAGAATATGGAGATCTTTGTAAAGTCATGGCTAGCCGCATAGAACCAGGATTAGTCGACTACACTCGGAAAGCATTTCTCGTTGAGCAAAGCCACAAAATCTAATTAGCAGTAGCCGCAAAATTCAGGGGCAGGGGCACGCAATTGGCGCAATGAAGCGTTTTTTAACAATAGTTTGCCAGATATATCATGCCACCAAATCGGAGGGAGAGTAACCCACCGAGAACTGGTCTTATCTGCCTTACATATGTATATGCTTATGATAAACCAGTCAGAGATAACGTTTGAGTTGTCTTCTTAATCTTTAGACGGCTACTGTTCTCTTAGAAAGTGCTGTTTCTATTGCAGTCGGTTTTCTAAAAAACGATTATAGATCGGAAATACCAGCTTATTAGTCATTTTGAACCCTTATCGAAACCATACTTTGCTTGCCCTGTAGTAATTATGAGCTAAATAAATAAATAAAAATAAATGAAGAAATTTCTTTTATAATAGTAGAAAGAACTAGTATCCAAACATTTTACAAAGAAATTTTCTCTAAATTGATTAAAGTCTGTTGCGAAAAAAACACTATGATTAGAGATTCATCACTAATTTTTGGTCTTTTGCTCGAAAATGTTATTGAAAACTTTACAGAGATTAAGAGATTTAATAAATCTGTTATCTTTAAATATATACTTTACATTTAAGAAATTATACTTTTTTATAATTAAGATTACACAAACATTATATTTGTATACAAATATATGTGATTTAAGATTCTTAAATCGATTTGTTAAAATCACAAGGAAAAGCCCAGGCAACAAGTGGTCGAGTTAAAAATAATCCCAGATTTTACGATTCTAGTTTGCATTTTGGTGTTACTTACTTAAAAATTGTACGGAGATACGAAATGAAAGGTATGCAGACGAGATTCTCCAAACAGATGTCCCGGTTATCCTCTCGATTGGGTTTTGCTAGCACTATTTTATACAAAAAGTATGAAATGTCGATTTCATACGCCGATCTGAGTTCTGCCGCGTTTATCGTACGTTTTTTGGTTCCCTGCCGATTTTCGGTCTGTTTTAAAATTATTTAACTTAATCACGCGATATTTTTTGCGGTTTGTTGGTTGGTTTTGCGTTCTTTTAGTTAGCTTAAACTAATTTCAAAAGCATTTCGTTTTTAGTTGGTTTGCGGTTTGGAAAACATTTGTTTTTAAGGAACGTGTGTAGTTGGTAATTTTTTTTACTGGTGCTTTGTAATATAAAAGTTACGTTTACGTCTGTTCGGCTTCCTTTTAATGTAAATATGATACTATTTATATATATGTGGATATATATAGTTCCTCCTTCTGGATTTCTGTGTGTTTGAGGGCTGATGTTGTTGTTTTTTGTCGTTTCTTGTTGTTGTTGTTTTTAAACACCAGTCTGTAAATGCAACGAAGTTTCAACAAATATTCATTGTAGTGTAATTGAAACGGAAAAGTATGTACGACGACGAACGGTCTTCGAATTGATTTCACACGAAACACTTAGTGGCTCCTTTTGTATTTAATTTTCTGCATACTTTATGCTTCTTGTATTTGTTTATTTTTCTGTATGCAGTGGAACTGCAAGTAAAAAAGAGAGACAGAGATAAGGAGACGAATGAGGGGTGGCATGGGTGGAAAAATAGGAATGTGCATTCCGGAAAATCATCATCATACTGGGCTAAGGTAAACACACACAACCCCTACCCCCTTTTTTGATAGCCCACCCGCCTGAAACCCAAAACTATCTACTTTTCACAAGTTATTTGTTCGACCCCAAACAACAATTTTTGGCTCAAACACCGTGTAGTGGCGAAAACCCACATCAAATTGAACAACAAACTAACTTTTTTACAATCCTCAACTTTTTTCTCCTATTTGTAGTGTTTTCCTCGAGCAAGCAGTGCGATATGGTGTGCACTGCTTTACGAACGAATACACACAAATATAAGCGAGGGCGTTAACGAAACGAAAAAATTTTGATAGCAATGCGATTCGAAGATTTCGCGATTCGATTTGCCGATTGTTTAACAATTATGGAAGGCCTTGTTTAATGGCCAGCACAATTTGGCGAAAAAACGCACTTTACACTGGCTTTTCGGAGACGTTTTCGGTGCTGGTACAATTTTTTCGTGGGGACTTTTGGGGCTTTGCCAGGGGGCGGCGGATGGCGACCGCTGGCTGGCGAGGCGACCGATTTACGGGGACTTCGCTCGAGACTCACAACATATTCGAATTGGCATCGCTCGCTACTCACAACATATTTAATTTTGCATTTTTCGCTAACGTTGACGCACGACCGTAGTTTTTGAGGACAGTAGAGGTGGAGAAACATCGATGCCAACATCGATGTTTTCGAAACATCGGTAACATCCATGACATCGATGTTTTCGAAACATCGGTAACATCGATGTTTGACAGATCTTATCTTTTATTAATTATTAATCCAACTTTATATATTCTTAACTAATTATTTGTATTATGAAAGAAAAAGTAAGCACAAAAAAACGACTAGGACAAACCGAATTCGGTATTTACATTGTGGCGGCGACAACAAACTTTTCTTTTCCATATATTTTTTAATATTATAATAATTATGTTAACGTTACATTGCAATAAGATATTATTCAGAACTATGCCATTTTTTCGTGAGGAAGAAAAACATATTAGGTTAAAAATATGTACTAAGTCCGTTTCCCTGTAGTTGGTGTTACTAAATGGCTTAAAACATCAGTTTCGTTCAAATAAACGAAACCGGCCAGCAACTATGACCGGTTCATCCCTGTACCCAAAGTTTTAAACTTTCGGCTACAGTGCACAGTAAATAAATTACAGACATCCAAAAACATCGATACGCAAACGTCAATGTTTCTCACCTCTAGAGGACAGTGTGACCGCGCGGGAGTCGACGCAGACATACCATCCGACGCGCTTCGAAATATACCACTAAATGCTGTACTGTGCGCACAGCAAGCACCAATTACAAGCAGTTTACATTTTCGATTTTAGTATTTTAAAAAAATTGAAATATTTTCGTAATAAAAATGTTAGGCCTCAATACTGACATACTTTTAACATTATTCATTTTAACACATAGAAGTTATGATATACAAATTTTTAGATTTAGTCCCTTCAAATATGTGTGATAAGCAAGAATAAATTTAATAAAATCTAAAACGTAAATATTTTATTGTTAGAGTCTTACCAAATAGCTAAAATACTATTAATTAAAGAAATTTGGGATTTGGAAAATATTTTATTTGTGGTTAAAAACAGCTTGCACCCCTAAAAAGACATCGAAATAAATTACGTACAAACCGGTCACCAACCATTATACAAATTTCTGTATTTCTTAGCCCCGGTAATTGCCCGCCAAATTAAAAAATTCATCTTATTTAATCTATGTTTTATTTGATTCTGTAAATTATTATCATTTGTTCAATATGTTCATGCGATAAATAAGTGTTTAAATTAATTAAATAAAATTAAAATAATAACTTTACAGTGTGTGCACAATTTAAACAATTATTTCGGGTCTCGTGTGATTTACAATCAAGTTAAATAAAATAAAAACATCGAATCGATCGGTTAGTGACTATTGGATTGTGTTCGTGTTATAAAGCTGCAGCTAGTTTGAGTCTCTCAGACGAAAATTAAAAACCAAGTACAAATTAAAATACACATAATCGCTAAACGTTCAAGTTGTCACTTGAAAACAATTTTCAAAACTTCGGGGACCACAGGGGAATTACATCTGGCCTTTTTTGCATCGCCCCAAAATACACTCAATTGACTATAAAAAACTCGTACTACATATTTGCAAAATACACAAAATACAAAAGGTTCAGGCCTTCTCCTTCGACTTTTGATTTGTTTAACAATTACTCTGGCTTTCGAGTGATATGCGTTTCATTTGTGGTTTGCCTTTAACAAATTACAAATTATATACGTTTTGATCGCATTAATTATGAGCACAATAATAGGATTAACAAATATTATATGTATACGTAGGTTTATGCTTTAGATTTTGTTGAAACTTAGAACTAAAAAATAATGTTTGAAACATTTCCAAAATATTCTCTCTCGTTCCTTATCTGCGTTCTTCTTTGTGTGGTGTTGGTTCTCGTTAACAATAACAATTTTTGTTGGAAGCACTGCTCGAACAATCCCTCGATTGGGCTGCCAATCCCGAATACATTTCACAAAACAAGAATTTATTAACTGGACAAAAACGAAAGCAGCGCTCACAAAGAAAATTTGGCCGAAAGTTTGGATTGGGATCTCCGGTCGAAAAGTGTTTTATGGTGTAACTGAAGTTGTTGTTGGTTCGTTGCTAGCCCAGTTGACCCGCAGTTGGTCACTTCAGATGGGTCGCGTGAAGTTGGCGGGGAAGAGTCCCTTCTCGGTGGTGCCCTCCTTCTGACCCATCAGCCAGCCCTCCTCCTGCAAGTTGGCAATAAAGAACTGAACTCAATATAGACAGGAAGTGCGGAGGTCTGCATTTGGCGCGGAGGGGGAAACTAGCGCGTGCAAAGCTCGGGGAGAGTTTATCTTCGGATTCCGAAGTAGGTGATACCCAAGCAGATTTGTTACATTACTTTAAAGGCGATGTTCAGAGTCCCTTAGGCTTAATTTGTTATTTTCAGGGATAAGATAAGTACTATCAACTTTGAAATGCTTTCCGTTTTAATAGAGTTTACATTGTAAACTGTGATTTATAACTGGAAAAGGGTATTTTTGTTTAAATGTTGTTCGAAAATATATGAAGTTAAATTAATTAATGCGTTAATAAATGTACGGCTTGTCATTTTTTATGCTATTCTGTAGTGAATAATACTCGAGCTCATAACTAAGTACTGGAAGAATAAATTTGCTCTTTTCAACAGAAAATAATAGGCATAAAATAATAGCCATAGAAGACTTAACTTATCCTCCCCAAGTTTACAAAATTGACTGCTGGGGTATTATACATATAATGACACAACTGTTTTACTCAATCGACTTTACCTGATCCTCGGGATCGTCGTACTCAATAACGCGAATAAGGTCTCCGATCTCGAAGCTAAGCTCGTCCACATCCTCCTTAACGTAGCCGTAGGTGGCCTTAACCCGATAAAGGACGCCGGGCGGCAAGTCGGCGGTATTGGCATCTGTTCAAAGAAATAAATGGTTTCCATCTTAGGATCTATTTGTAGGGAGTGAGTACCAAAACCCTAAAGGACTCGTACGTCACACAGTGTACATCGAAAGTTTCATAACCGAGTTTAGTAGACAAAGGCACGCAAGGAACAACGGAAACGCAATCCTGGCCAAAGTGGGTTAGTGGTTGTTGCGCTTTCACAGGCTTTTATAATTTTTTGGGCTGTTAGTTTTTCAGTGGGGTGAAAAAGTTGGGCAAAAACCAACGGATAAACGACTGAAGCAGCGAACGTGCAAGCAATGGTAAATGGATGGGTGATTATTATTGAGATAGTTGTACGATAACCTACGTGTTCGAATCCCGAATTAAGACAACATGAAGTGGCTTAGTCTAAGTACTAAAGGTTCTAAATGAAATACAGGGATAGATGCGCAGCCCAGGAAATGAGATTGAGATCCTGCCGTTGTGGATGCCCCACGCAGCATGCACCACAATCGTTTTACAATACAATACCAATACAGTAATCCTCAATTTGGTTTAGACGACAATCACACAGGAGACTAAAGCTTAGATTACAGAAGATTAGACGTGATCCATCGAGGGATGCGAAGAGAGAGTGAGAAGACTACAGTGTGATAGATAGAAAGCGAGTGTGGACACCCAGTGGACTCGTTTTTGAGGTTTACTCACCAGCGGGCACCTCGTAGATGCGATCGTCGTCATCCTCGAACGGATTCTTATTAAGATTATTTACGCTGTGCCTATTAACTACTGGTACTGGTCTACCTTTCTGACTTGTGCCTGTGCTGGTCTTAGTATCTGTATCTGTATCTGATTTGGTTACTACTTTATCTGTATCTGTTGATGTAGCTAAGTGCTGGGTGACTGTTTCTGTTTCTGTTGCTGTTGTGTCATTACCTAATTTCTTCTGCTTGTGCTCCTCGATGGAATTGCCATTATTGGCCGCCGCCTCGGCAGCAGCTTCCGCATTGGATGTGGTGGATGGCAGTTCCTTCGGGTGTTTGCCACCTTCCTTGGGGATCGAGGGTTCATTGTTGTTGCCATTGACTTGGGCAGGTGTGGCTGGTGGGGCAGGTGTTGCAGCGGTTGCTACTGCTGCGGCTGTGGCTCCTTCAGTTTGCGATGGCTTCACTTCACTGACCACCACCTTCTCCTCAGTGGGCGATGTCTGCGTGGTTGTGGTTGCCTTGGCACTCGCATTCAGACCACTCAACTCGGGACGCTCCACTGACTTGGTGGTTACCCCGTTCTCCGTGGGACTACTGGGCGTGGCTGCTGCTACCGCTGCTGCTGGGGATTCCTGGGGCGGTTCTGGTGTTGAAGAAACTGAATCAAATCGAGGCTCTTGCAGCGACGAGCTGGTGGATGTCGCTAATTGTTGTGTCGTTTCGCGTGTGTATTTTATTTTTGTTTCATTTTATACGTTGTGATTTTGTTGATTGTCGAATGCATTTGTTTTGTTATATCATTCAATTTGGTTTCGTTTTGTTTTGTGGTTAGCATCATTCCAAACAAAAGATTAAATAAAAAAAGAGAGAAAACAAATCAAATAAAACTCAGGACATGCGAGTTAGGGCAAGGGGAAAAACTCAATCAGAACTCTCAAAAAGCAACAAGAACATGCAACATTCCATTTGTCCGTTCAGTCAGTCGATAGCAACCTGGGATACCTCATTTTGCGTGGCTTCCAATCTCAATTTTTAATTGCTTAAAGGAAAGAATAATGGGGTCAATATTTACATGTCCCTTATAAAGTAAGATTAAAGCTAGCCCAGATCGCCAGACCGCCGCCAACAATTTCGTCTTTATTTACAAGCTAAATTGTCTACAAATGGAATGTTTTCGCAATGCCAAAGGTGGTTTTTGGTTAAAATTCAATACGAATAGTTAACAAAATTAGTTGCCAAACAAAATTTAATCAAACAATTTCTTATAAATTGCAAAAAACTTGAGCGAAATCATCACCATCATCAGAATATTATTCGTATAGTATATGCCAGGTATTGGTGCAAATATCAAATATAATATATGTTTATACAAATTTTCTATATGTTGTGTATTATATTGAGCTCTTTTTATATAGTACATCAAAACAGAAATATATATTTAAACTTTAATGGATTTTTTTATGAGATTGTTTGTTGATTGTTTGTACAGTTTTGAGCAA